GGTGTGGCGAAAGGAGCCCAGAACCCAGGTGGGGTCGGACACCCCCACCTGGTTCCCCACGGCGCGTCCAGCATCCATCGTGTGACCTGCGGCTCTCCTGTGCCCCTCCCCTCTCTGCAGAAAGGGGCCGAGTCACTCTCAGTCACTCTCTCACTGTCGGGAATTGCCTGGCCTGCCGCAGGCTCCCGATACGGGAACCGTTGTCATTTCTAGGTGTGGCTGCAGCAGGCCTGGGCAGTGCACAGAGCCACTGGCCAGGGGAACTTGACCATAGTGTGGCTGACGTGCGGTGAAACACTCAGAGGGCTTGGGTGGCCCAAATGCAGTGAAAGCTGTTTTACTTTTTATAGCCATTGCTTCTGCTCCTACACTGAGCCTGGCCAGTACGGAGTTCTGACTGCCATTCACACTTGATTCTTGGTTGGGGGCTGGTTCTCGGTTAGGAAGCCACTGTTGCAGAGTTCCAAACGCGTGCCCGGGCCACAGCTCACAGCTGCACACTGCGTCACACCCCAGGGCGGACTGCACAGGTACTTGAGGGCACAGGCTGAGCCTTACCTGGCCTCCTAGGAGTTGCCAAGACCTGAGAAGAGTTGAGTCTATCTGGGAGCTTTCATCCACATTCATCGTGGTTCTTCCCGACGTCTCTCATGGGAGCATTGGCTGTGGTCAGTGAACTCCCACTTGGAGATTCTCCCCAAAAGTGCGGTTACAGACAGCAAAGCCATCCCTGGCCCTTCCATCCTTGGACTGTGTGACATCCCCTGCTGCGATCAGGTGGCGAAAGGCTGCTTTCCTCTGTGGTACTGAGTCAGTCAGGCATCCCTAAAATGTAAGTGCCCACTTACACCCCCTCCCCACCGCCCTGAGGAAGCCGAGATGGGCAGTCCTGCTCCCCAGGCCCCGGCCTTGCTCACAGCCTGTGCAGCGGTGGTGATTAGCCAGGCGCTCCTTAGGCCAGGATCCCATGTGTAAGCTTTCCAGTCACCTGGAGTAAAATTTTTGGCAAACATCCTGCATCCCGTTGTGATTTTTACGCTTTAGTTTTTTTTGAGAGAGAACACAGTGATGCGCACCGCACCTTTTGGAAGCCAGCATATGCTTTAAAGCACATGCACTTGGAAGCCCCTGGCATGTGGCAGCTGCTCTGTGATCGCAGCTCTTATGTGTTTGTCCTGTATGGTCCGGTGAGAAGACAGGAAGCCAGCAAGCGGGGGAGGGCGCACGGGCACGGGGTCCAGTCCCAGTCCTGCCGCTTGGGTGCTGTGTGACTTGGGGCAAGTTATTAAGCTTCTCTGAGCCTTAAGCTTCCCTTTTGTAAATGGGAGTGTTGCCTACCTCTCCGGGTGCTGTGAGGATCCACGGGGCCTCACCCTCAGTCAGTGGCAGCTGCTGTTTCTGTCGTAACAGAGACTCGGTGATGGGGCAGCGGCTGAATTTATGTGCCACTTTTCTTCCACAGGAAGCCGAGATTGATAATATTCACCAACTAGTAGTTGGAGCAACCGAGAATATCAAGGAGGGCAATGAAGACATCAGAGAGGTGGGTACCCTCTGGGCCCCGAGTCTGATTTGGAGGGGCACCGAGGCCGGGCGGCAGTGGTCGCCTCGGCGTCAGGGCTGCCTGAGAGCCTGGCTGGGGCAGAGCCCCAGGGCTGATCTCACAGCTGTGCACTGCTGGTCCCGTTCTGTCCCGCCAAGCTCGGCCCCTGCAGAGGAGCCAGCTGGGTTGCACGCGGTCACTCTCAGCAAGGGTCAGACCAGCGCCCTAAATGCAGGGCAGGTGCCACTGGAGAAACTTGTTGGACCAGCACCAAGGACCAGAGCCCTGGTCACTGTTCACGGGGCCTCCACAGTTGACTCTGCCATGGCCTTTGTTTTCTGAATGCGGTCCTCGGGTTTGGGTGGCCGTAGGACCATTTGTGGACGCCCTGTCACTGCACTGCTAGGAGACATAAGCCAGGGTAGGAGACACGGTGCTCTGAGCCTGCCTGCGGGGTCTGGACCCTGGGGCCGACAGGAGCTGTTTCTCCTGGGAGAACTGTGCAAAATTTCCAAAGAACAGCTAAGCAGCGAGGGAAACAGAACCCTTTGGTCTTCTGATAGACTGTAAACCGATTTTTGTTTTGCTTAATAATGAAGACATCTATTCAAGGTCAGGGTGGGCTGGAGCAACCCCCAGGGGGAGGAGGGCCTCTCACCCACCCCGCCCCGCCCCCAGGCCATCAAGAACAACGCCGGCTTCCGCGTGTGGGTGCTCTTCTTCCTGGTCATGTGCTCCTTCTCGCTGCTCTTCCTCGACTGGTACGACAGCTAGCCTGCCCCGGCGGCGCGGCGCGGTCCCAGTCCTGGCCTCAGACTGGGGGGGGGGGGGGACACACTCACAAAAGGGACACCTGGACCTATGCACCCAGACTGTGCCCATCTAGTAGCTGAGAAAGAAAACGACACAGTTGGAAGTGGGCTGCGTCACAGTCCTGAGGCCACAGGGGAGAAACGGGAGGGTGGCTATCGCTGCACCTGACCCAAGGCTGCGGTGGGGGCCGCCCCGGGAGGGGAGGGCAGGCCAGGCCCGGCTCCGCCAGCGTCTCAGGAGGCGCCAGCCTTTCCCTCCTGGTGGCCGCAGGAACAGTGCTGGTCAGTGCCTTCTCACAGCAGATGATCATTTCTTTGTTCCCCGCGGCTTTTTGTCTGTCTGAGCCAACCAACACACAGATTCGGTGTGCAGTCCATGAGAAAACCCCCCTCTGCCTTGTGACTCCCGTAAACACCGTTAAGTCAGCGCGTGCACACCTGCCTCCTGCCCAGGGAGGGAGCGTGGGGCAGGCCTCTGGGCCGCGGCCCGGCTTGCCCAGAACTGCTGCCCTGGCACTCTCCTGCCTGGTGGGCAGGCGGCGGGAGGACCTGTCTCTCTGCCACTGGGGCCCACGAGCTTTTGTCCAGAGGGCCTGCTGCTCCCCGCCTCTCCCTGAGCCCCAGGAATCCGGAACGCCTGCTTGGACTTCGAAGCACGGAAGCCCGCGGCCACATCTGCGCAGAAAGCATCCGGTGTAGGCGGGGCCGGCAGCGTGGGTGCGAGGGCTCCGCGCTGCACAGACAGTCCGGGGGCACAGGGATCCTCGTGTTCTTTATTTGCAGAGTGAAAATGTGGAAAGTTACATGTGAATGAGTTTACAGTCAATAAAATACACGTCTACTAGAAAGTACAAATAGGGTTGCCTTGGCACTGCGTTTACATGGGCTGGAACTGCTGACAGATAACCTCTACGCAGCAGACGTTTTGGCGCGTAGTTATTGCTCTTTGTGCACCCCCACAGCGTCACGACGTCCTTCGCGGCTGCGACTGTAACGCACACCCACTGCCCTGAGGTCATGGCCATTGTTTCCAAACACCCCTGACAATGACATCTACTGTCTGTTTCAGAAGTGCACTTCAGGGAACAGTAAGGGAGTTGGCCGTGACCACCATGCTTGTTCGCCACAGATCTTGCACTAATTGTCATTTATTTTTGATCTACTAAAAAAAACAGTGAAACTTGTGACATGTCCACCAGAAGCAACACAGTCAAATAACATGGAAGAAAATGTGAATTTTTTTTTCTATTTAATCGTCTTACACACTTAGTTCATCTAACTGGCAAGTTTGTAAACATACACTTTAATGTCAAGATTCAGACTGAAACGTAATTGTCTTACAGAGACTGTGAATGTAAATGTCACAGTTGGACTCATAAGGTGCCCCGCCAGCCCCCCTCCCAGCCTTTCCTTCCTGCTTCTTACATCAAAGGAGTGACATCTGTCCCACAGAATAAACACCTGAAGTAGCCTTGGCTTACCAGCAATCACTTTCACGTTCCCCGCCCAGCTAACTGATTTAAAACTAATTGCTAATACGGCTGTCGATGCAAATGTATTTAATAACCAATGTGAACAGAAGGGCTGGTGGGTTTCATTCCTACACAGCACATCACAGAGCAAACGGACGCTGGCAGGGGGCCGGTTCTGCAGCCTGTGGCCCAGGGTCCCCACCTCACATGCCCTGACCCAGACCACAAGCACCAAGGGAAACACGGCCGCCTCTGCCCAGCGGGCCCTCTGGGCTGAGATGCAGCCTCCGCCCAAGCAGCCCTGCTGCAGCCCCTGCACGCTCAGAATGAGCGCGGGGAAGGTCAGGGTGCAGCTGTGACCCGCCGGCGTCTTTCCTTCCTTCCCTATGCCACTCATTATAGCACATCCTGACCATCAGCACTATTGCCCTGAATGGGAGGTGGGAAGAAATGAGAAGGACAGCTTGCTCTCAGCAAAGCAAGGGCTTACTCTAGATATGGCTGTGGAGTAAGGTCTGCAAACAGCAAGTGGTTTAAAAAACAATCAGTCCCACAAAATGCATTATTTATCTGAAGTCCAAACCCCTTGCATATCCAGTGTAAATTTATTTTTTGATAGCATCCAATAAATCCCAGTCAAGTTGCTAAATTAAGATTCCTTTACATGGAAACTGGTGTCAGAGCTCTTTAAGCAATGCTGATAGCGCTTGATTCTATGCCCGTGGTGGCCTGCAGCAAGTTTGATTTTAAAGCAGCATCAGCAAACAGAAGCAGTTGCACCATAAATGAGTCGCCTCTAAATTATCAGGAATTATATTTAATGAAATGTCCCTCAAAGTCCCTTTGTTACCTTCAAGTGACACTGCAGGGAACTCGCCATCTCGCTAAGCGGATTTCTCAGCAGCCTCAGTCTCCTGCTCTGAGAGCTTCTCTTCCGACAGAACTGACATCCATGGCGATACCGAGCGGGTGATGCTCTGCTTGGCCAAGTTGTAGTGGTTTATGACGGTGTAAAATTTCTCCCGGGCGTTGGAGTCTTGCTCCGCGTAGTAGCTCTCCAAGCCTTCTGGGATGCACTGGGTGTTCTGAAAGACAAGAGGCCGCTAAGACGCACACGCCGATGCAGGAGGGACGCCCAGGTGTCTCCATTAGCACCCAACCTGTTGTCACTGCGCACCTCCCTGGGCTTGGAGGAGATTCGGTGATGAGTCAGCACTGACGGCCCGGTGCTGACTACATGGTGACAGGAGGGATGTCTGTGACAGGGCCGTGGCGGTGGGACTTGCACAGCGGGCCTTCCTGCTTCACTCATGATCTTACACTAGCTGTCATTTGTTTTACATCTACTAGAAAACAATGGGAATTCTTATGTGTCCACTAAAAACAATGTATTCAAATAAGGAAGGAAGGGAATCCAAAAAGTCTTCCTGGCGGCTGGGTCAGCGGGGGAGGGGGAGGGGGCACACTTGAGGCAAAGATGGGCCTTCAGGGCGGGAGGACGGATGCAGGCTGGAGCAGAGGGCAAGGAGCCGCAGGACGAAAACGCTGGGAAGGAGGCAAGGGTCGGGGCCTCTAGGGAGTTGTGTGACCCTGGCTCCCGAGCCCAGCAGGAGGCCACGAGGCCCCCATGAAGGCACGCTGAGTGGGGGACCGTCCCAGCAGCTGTCCACAAGGGACAAGGCGCCTTCCCTACTGACCACGGGACCCTGGGGAGGCTGGGGGCGTGGAGATCCGTTCACAGCTCTCATCTGCTCGTTGGGGGCATAGGGCCCCAAGAAAGACAGGCTGCCTTTCCTTGTCACTCCAGGAGCCAGGCTATGCCACTGCCCACCGCTGTCTCCACACGTCCCTCACCAAGCCCACGAGGAAGGGGTGGTGGGCTCCCAGCTGTCCCCCACCACCCACTCTCCCAGAGGTAAGTGGGCACATGGCACCCAGCTCAGCCCTCCTGGTAGCCAGCTGAGGCCATGGAACTAACTTCTGGCCAATTGGATGTGGCAGCAGGTTCAGGGGGCCCCCAGCAGGGAGGCCGCCTGCCCTCCCTGCTCCCATGGGCCCCCTCAGTGGCTTTGACCACCCGGGGAGGGCCAACTCCCCAGGGGCTGGCCACACAGCACAAGACAGAATGGGGGCTCCACGGTGACCTCACGGAGCACCACTGTCTTCCAGCTGGGGCTTTAATGAGCCCATCTCATCTCACGGAAGCCACATTACTTGTGTCTCTAGGCAATCGAAGTGTTATGGGAACGCCAGGGTCTCCTTGTCACATGTGAAGGGAGACTGCAGTGAAGATGGTCACCAGGAAAAGTTGTGAACCCCCAGATTCCCAGCCCCACCTGCGAGGTCCGGCCCAGCACCACTGAGCAGCGTCTCAGCCACGGCCACCCTGCTGGCAGGTGCACAGCTGGGATTCCACCCACTCCCGGGCCCTAGTAAGAAACCCGCTGCTCAGAGCGCTCCTGGACCTGCCGTGGGCAGGCCCAGCGTGGGGACTGTGCCCGGTCTCTGCTGATCCCTGGGCTGGCTGGTGGTGGCTGCCCCCACGAATATGGGCACTGGCCCGGGACACACAGGGGACCCTCCTCTGGGAGCCTCGTCCCTGCCCGACCCAGGTTTCCTCAGGCTCCCGAAGCTGAAGGCAGGTTAGCTCTGCCCCACCCCCATCAGAGGGCTGCTCCCTGGGGTCTTCCTGCAGACCCGAGACCCATCACCATGTCCCAGCCCTGCGACGACGCCGGTGGCCAAGTGCCTTCCAGACACAATCTCTCTCTCTCTGAGCTGGCTTCCGTTAGTCCTGTTCCATTGACGTGGCATGTGAGACCAAGAGAGGTGAAGGGACCACAGGGCAGCGTGGGGACCGAGCAGCAGCCTGGGCCTCCACTCAGAGCACTCCAGACGCCCCCTGCAAAGCTGCCAACAGGTGACCGCTCAGCCCAAAGGCAGAACAGTGAGAAACAAGGCAGCGTGCTCCCCGCACTGGGCAGGACTGTACCCCGGCAGCCTCAGGTTCAGCCCGCGTTCATCGGGTCCCAGCCCAGGGCACCCGGTCCCAACTCGGTCCTCAGCATCCTCAGAGGTGGAGGTGGTGGCACCCCATCTGCAGGGCTTGGGGGTTGGAGGGCCTGCCCAGTAGGAGCTGCTGCGGCAGGAACCAGCTGAGCCTGGGGAACACTGCCACCTTCAGGAGGCCCTCTCTGGGCACCAGGCAGTAAGGTCACCCTCTGAACCCAGAGGCCCTCCTGGGGTGCAGGTCCTTCTGACGCTGCCTGGCTGCTGCCTGATGTCCGCACAGGGCTGAACAGGTGATTTGTGGAGAGAGAGAAAGGACCACATCTTGGTCTTAGAAAAGCTCCTATTTGAACCAATTTCGAGGCCTGACCAAGTGTGACCCAGGGGTGGTGTTCCATCTATAAGTGACTGAACCCCCTGGCCACCCGGACAGTTCTAACAGGACACCGAGAAGTAGTATCAGCCTGAGGTTAACAGGTGTGGCTGGAGGACAGGCTCTCCCACAGGTGAGCTGCCATCAGGCGCAGGAGTCCCTCGCGCCAGTCCTGAGTCAGGCGCCAGGGGACTGCAGGCCCTGCGGAACCTGGCTCTGCCCGCCCTGTGGCCTTCACTCAGGACCCAGGCTCTGCTGCTCTCGGTGGGGTGTGGAGGTCTGGCCTCTCGGCAGAAGGAAGACGGTGCCACCCAGCTTGGCAGAGGCGATGGCATCGGGCCCGGTCCAGTGCCTGGACCACAAAGCTGCCCCTTCATCACTGCCGGGCCAGGAAGACGGAAGGGGTGGAGGAGGAGGCGGGTTTGGGGGCAGGGGGTTAGGGATCTGGCAGCCTGTTCCTCAAGCCGGGGGTGGGGCGGGGGGCATGGCCCAGGCAGGTGCCATGGGGGTTCCCCTGTTGGGGCTGCTGGAGCCCCTGCCTCTCAGAGACGTGTGGCTCTCTGCTGCTGCTTTAGTGAGGATGGAAGGGAAACTATAACAAACGCACACCTGACACCACCCTGCCCCACGGAGGACCGGGCTGCTTCTTACCAGCTCACTGACCCTGAAATGTAAGGACTAGAAACACCTGCCAGCCCCCCGGGTGCACAAAGAGCTGTTTCCAGAAGAGAAATGGCAAAGGAAGGCCGCGTGTTTACGGCCAGCTCTGCCTGGTGCAGAATCTCAGTGGCTGAGGCCGCAGGAGCAGGCGCTGTGGGAAGAGCTCAGCCGGGGAGCCAGGCCCACGCTGCTGGCTGAGTTCACATCTCTGAGCCTCAGTTCCCTTGTCTGTAAAATGGGGCTGCTGAGTCCCCACCCAGGGGGCTGAAGTCAGGGTAGCACAGCAGACAGAAAAGCCGAAAAGCCGCAAGGGGCACCGCTGGGGGATGCCCTTCTCTCATCAGGTCTTGACCCCAGACTCATCAGGGCACTGGGAGGCGAGGCCACTCTGCGGGGCCAAACCGTTCGTTCAGCCCAGGGCCCCTGGCTGGCAGGCTGGCTGCCACCCTCCTCCCCGACCTGCACTGCTGCCTCCCTGCCCTCTGTCCTCGCCACCCATCAGTCACCAGCACAGGGTCTGGCAAGACCTTCTGAGGCCACCAACACCTGCTGTGCAGTGAGTGCCTCTGCTCCCGGCTGGGACAGGCCTCCAGGTGCCCAGGCCAGAGAGCACAGACGGTCCGCCGCCACCCGCACAGCGACGCCACACGACGGGGATGCTGGGGCGCCCCCGTGGGTGGGGTGCTGGCGGCCAGCACGACCCCAGGGGTAAGGAAGACTTCTGAGGGGCACGTGTCACCTGCAGGTGAGCTGAGGGAGGCCGCTGAGCCTCTCTGCACCTCGTCCCTCCGCCACGATGCGAAGTGTTAGCTGGACGGGAAGGGGAGTCCGGGACAGCGTGTCCCAGCAGCCCTGGCCGTGGAATGCCCCACGCGGGCTCCCCGCGAGGGAGGCGGTCTGCAAGGCGCACCCAAACGCGAAACCCCTGTGGGGCCTGGGGCGGTTCCCCACTGGGTTTAGGACCTTTCTGCAACAGTCGTATAGTGACTTAACGGTTAAAAAAACAGAAAGGCAGAAACCTGGTGTCCTCCCAGCCCACACCTGCCATTTTAAATCCCCTTGGGACACTCTTCAGCTTGGGGCCACCTGGGAGAGGCTGGTCCCCGCCCCTCCGTGCAGCCCAGAAGCTCGGGCACCTGTGCCCCCCAGCCCATCCCGTGGGGCCCCCTCGGGGCCGGGGTCAGCACAAGCCTGGCCCACAGCAGGTCCGCAGCAGCCCCCCCTCCACATTCGGATCTCAGCCCAGGTGAGCCCTGTGCTCCCCGCAAAGAGCTGGCCGCAGGCACTCAGTCACCCTGCGTTTCTCCCTTGTGGACTCCTGGCAGCATCCAGTAGCGTCTGGACATCTGTCTGCCGGCTCGCCGCTTGTCGCCTCTGCTAGAACATAAGCCCCGGGGGCAGGCACCTGCCAGCACCCCGCCCTGCACACAGTGGGTGGCACTTAGTAAACATACACTGAAGAATGAAGTGCAGGGGGTGGCCTCGGGCACGACAGTGTCTCTACTCAATCTCCCGTTGGTCAAGTGGGGTCTAACGGCATCTACCCTACAGGGGCTTGGGGGGCATCAGAGATCTTCGTTAAAAGCCCCTTGTGAACTGCTGGGTATCAGCATGTGATGTGCACACAAACCTGCAGGAAAGAGGGAGGAAGGGCGCGCACACATTTCCTCTCTCCAGCCTCAGCCTCAGGGCAGCTGGACACAGACCAGCAGCTCCCCGGCCCTGCCAGTGGTGCTCTCCAGGAAGGACGCCCGCCATGAGATGCCAGTAGAAAAGGCCCAAGTCCCAAGAGACGCTTCTCCAGAACCATCTACCAGGGGCTCCAAGTTCCCGAGGCTGGCTGTGCACTCCACCCGCTGCAGAGCCTTTCAGCCGTGCGACGCCCGCCCCCCAGCGCTGCTGCGAGAAGGACCAGGCCTCTCCTCCCCGACTCCACCTGGACCAGGTTATCCAGCAGAACCTGCCCCGGCAGGATGTGCACGCAGAAGGCAGTTTTGTCTGCCCACCCGCCTCTCCATGCAGGGAACTAGCCCCAGGCGGACGCAGAGAAAATGGCCAAAAGGAAAGGCCGGCCCCTGCTGGCGGAGCCGTGGTCACAGCTACTTGTGTGCAGTCTGTCCAGGAAACCGTCCTCTGTGCACCCAGGTTCCATCAGGGCGCGGCTCCTGCGTCACCTTGGCTCCCACTCCCTGACCTCAGGTCCTCCCCTCCTGCCCCGCCTCTGTCCCCCAGATTCACTCCCTCTCCATCCCCAGCACCCAGACTGGTCCAGACCCACATCTCCTCCCTGATGCCCTCCTGGGCCGTCTCACTGCCTCCTGTCACTCCCATTCAAACTGCAGCCTCCCCGGCCACCCGAGTGACCATCCCATCACTCCTGCTCCTCCAGGGGCCTTTGCTGGCACTCCAGTCTGGCCACAGCCAGCTCCTCCCTGAGGCAGAACACACATGGGCCACTTGACCACACCCTGCAGACCAGGGACACAGTCCCCAATCCCCACGTGGTTACACAGGCCTTCTTCTCCCAGGGCCTCTGCTTCCCCCTCACTCACTGCCCCTCAGAGAATGTGCTGGGCCTGCTGGACAGGAGCCTCCCTCCCACAGACCCCATCGCATCGCCCCCTCCCTTCCCTGCCGGCCAGGCCCCTCACTGGCCCGGCTGCTCTGGCGTCTGTCCCTCAGGCACTGAGAGCCCAGTGGAGGACGAGGTGCAGAGGCATTGGGCGCCGGGGGGGGAGGGGGCTTACCTTGAGGACAAAGCCATCAGGACAGGCGCGGTCATACTTGTACACCTTGTAGACGACCAGGAAGACGACACAAGTGAGGAAGGCCAGGGCGAAGAGGACCAGCACCGACACCTGCGGGCAGAGGCGGGGCCATCAGGGGGGCGATGGGGCAGCCACGCACACATGCACACACAGACACAGATACACACAGACACACACACAGACACATGCAAACACAGACATGTGCACGCACACTGACCCACACGCCGCTGTAGCAGGCAGTCTCTGGAAGGAGGGACAGAACACAGAACTGGGAGGCCTCTGGGGACAACAGGTCAGCAGAATCCCTTCACACTGACAACTTTTTGTACCATTTTCATCTTTTACCATATCCACACGGCATCTTTGTTTTTAATAAGCTATTTTTAGTATTCCAGGCCCTGTGTAGAGCTTGGGGTACAGATACCATCAGGCCTCATGGACATGGGACACACGATTGAGCTGTGGGTGCGGGTGGCCCATCTCATGCTGCCAGTCCTGGAGGGGACGCATCAGCCACCAGCTGGTCAGGTGTCCCCTAGACGTGCCCTGAGCCGGGACCAGCTGAGCAAGACAGACTGACTCTCCTAGGTCCCCATCACCTCCACCCTCGACAGCTTCCTGCGTGTTCAGTTTGATCTGTCCCCTCCCTGGAGGGAAGTCCCCCGAGCACAGGGACCGGACTTTCTGCACTGCTGGACGCGGGCTCCCAGCACCGTGTGTGCAGCCAGAGCATCATATAGAAACATTAACCCATGACGGATAAAGACTTGAACGTAAGACCTGAAACTGTAAACTCCTAGAAGAAAACGCAGGTGATAAGCCCCTTGACACTGGTCTTGGCAATGATTTTTTGTATTTGACACTAAAAGCAAAGGCAACACAAGCGAACATGAACAAGTGGGACAACAGCAAACTAAAAAGCGGCTACACAGCAAAGGAAACCACCAGCAAAATGAAAAAGCAATGGTGGAAGTTCCTGTAAGTCATACGTAAGAGAATAATATACAAAATAAATTAAGAACTCTTATAACTCTAGAGCAAAAAACCCAAACAATCCAACTAGAAAATGGGCAAAGAAACTGAACAGGCATTTTTCCCAAAGAAGACATGCAGATGGCCAACAGGTAGTACGTGAGAAGCGCTCCGCATCGCGAATCATCAGAAAAATGCAAATCGAAGCCATGATGAGGTATCTGTACCTCACATCTACAGCTATTTTCAAAAAGACAAGAAATAAAAAGTGTTGGGGAGGACATGGAGGAACGAGAGCCCTCCTGCACGGTCAGTAGGAGTGCCAGTTGGTGCAGCCAGTATGTTAAACACTATAGATTCCTCAGAAGAATTAAAACCAGAACTACCATGTGATCCAGTCATTCCACTTCTGAGTATTTATTTGAAGGGAATGAAAACACTCACTTGAAAAGCTATCTGCACCCCGATGTTCACTGCAGCGTTATTTACAGTGGCCAAGATACAGGAGCAACCTAAGTGTCCATCGATGGATGGACGGATAAAGTTGTGGCACATACATTCAATGGAATAATATTCAGCCATAGGAAGGAACTCTTGCCATTTGCAACAACACAGATGGACCTTGAGGGCATTATGCTGAGTGAAATAAGCCAGAGTAAGACAGATACCATTTGAGCTCACTTATATGTGGAATCTTGAAAAAAAAACAAACAAAAAGAGCTCATAGAAACAGAGAACAAATTGGCTTTACGAGAAGCAGTGGGGTAGGGCTGGAAGAAGTGAGTGAAGAGGGCCAAAAGGTACAAACTTCCAATTGTAAGACAAATACGTCACGGGAATGTAATGTGCAGCATGGTGACTAGTTACCAATACTGTGTTGCATGGCTGAAGGTTGCTAAGGGAGTAGCTTCTTAAAAAGTGTCATCACAAGAAAAAAATCTGTAACTATGTGTGGTGACAGATGTTAACCAGACTTACAGTGTGATCATTTTTCAGTGCACACAAACACTGAATCACTCTGTTGCACACTTGAAACTAACTGACGCTATATGTCAATTACATCTCAATTTTAAAAAAAGAATATGATCTCAAGTCTTGGAGAGACGTGCATCCTTAAACCTGTCCCTTGAACTGGAAGCCACGTGGGGTTGGGTTCGCAGCGCCCCGTCTGTTCAGGTGTGAAATAAGCCCCGGCTCTCTCAGCGGGGCTGTGAGGAAGCAGGTCCTCAGGGCTCTTCTCCTGGAACCTGGCCTGGGCGTTCCATCCAGGATTTCTGGACCTGATGGCCACGAAGCTCACAGAACTGAGAAATGAGGACCTGACAGTCCCCAGAAGAGCCGAGGGAGAAAGCAAAGGAATCAATCCCCGGAGAGTCAGCAGGAGGCACCTGGTGTGGCAAAGCCCCACCCCCACCCCCAGGCGGTCCCTGCTACCCCGCCACCGACACCTCTGCGCTCTCCGGGCCCCTCCTGGGCCCCAGGGTCTGCTCAGACCTGGGAAGCACCCTGAGGGGTAAGAAATGCAGGTGCACAATTCACTGTGTGGCATGGTATCCCCTGTGGCCGCCACAGGCTGAGGAGCCTTTCCAGAAAGGTCCCAGCAAGCTCACAACTGGATCCCAGCTTGGCCACCTGCCACCTGTGTGACGCGCAGGTCGCCTCAGACCTCACCTCTCACACGTTTATCAAGAGGATGACGAGATCACGGACTTGAGAGCATGCTGTCAGCCCCACGTGCTGGGCCCCTGTTCCAGGTTGAATTGTGTCTCCCCCAAACCTCCCCCCAAAAGAACACACAAGCCCCAACCCCTGGTACCTGCAAATGTGACCTTATTTAGAAATACGGTCCTTGCAGGTGTGATTAAAGTAACCAAGCTCATTCGGGTGGGCCCTAATCCAACAGGACTGTGTCTTACGAAAGGGGGACATGAGGACCCAGGTGCATACAGGGAGCAGCCCCTTGAAGACAAGCCAAAGATGGCCAAGGAGTGCCAGCAACAGCCCCAGAAGCCAGGAAGAGGCAGGCTGCAGAGGGAGCGCGGCCCTGCCGACACCTTGACCTTGGACTTCTGGCCTCCGCAACCGTGAGACGCTACATTTCGGCTGTTCCGGCACCCTGGTCGGTGAGCTTTGTCACAGCCGTCCTAGCAAACTAAGGCAGCCCGCCGTGCCAGGGCTGTTTCAGGCAAGCACTCAGGACTGGCTCGCCTCCCTGGAAGGTCACCCTTGTCCCCCAGCACAGCCCTATAGCAGCCTTCTCTCCTCACCGTTCAAAGCCCTGGCCAGGCCCACCACCCTCCAGGAGGGCTCTGGGATGCCCCAGCCTCTGGGCACCAGCAACACATGGTGCACCCCAGAACCCAGCATCCCCCCCTTTCCTGATTCAAGTGTAGTGAAAATGTGTCCCAGTTTGGAGAGTTTCATGAGCCTCCCTCACCTCCCCCAGCCCATGAGACAACTAGGAATATTCCAGAGCGAAGTGTGAAACACACCTGTTTCCTCCAGGCCCTGGGCGTACCCTTTGCCTTCTCTACAGGGAGCCCCATGGCTGTCCTCTCCGGGGCCAGGCTGTGGGGCTGGGGGCCAGGGCGTCCCTTGGGTGGAGGAAGGCTGTCTCCTTAGAGGCAGGGCCTTTCTTCCAGGGGCAACATCTCTAAGGCACGCACGAGGCCCAGTACTGGGGCCTGTGATGCCTTTAGTGACCCAAGAAAATGGGTTTTACTTTGTTTAAAAACCAGAAAGAAAAAGAGTAAGATAATAATGAATATATAATAATGAATCCAGCCTGGATTATGTCATCTTTAGACCAAGGTAGCCAGAAAATGTTCTGTTCTTTTTTTTTTAAGGAGGAAAGGTCCCACAAAGGCAAAAGCGCCTTGTGCCCCAAGGCCTTGCCTTCCTCCACCGACGGAATCCCCAGTGGCCAGTGGACGTTCCTGGGAGATCTGACAGCGGCCACCTTGGAGTGACCTTGGCCCGCTGCATCAGCCCTGGTCTCTGCTGAGTGGTTTTAACTCCTAAGAGTGTGGGGTGAGACCCGGGAGAGGAAAGCGGGAGGCAGGGCAGACACCTCTGCGGGGAAGGGGTCCAGGAGGCAGTGTTGGGTCCCGAAGGATGGGTGCTCCCCAGGGAAGCTCGGGAAAGGCTGCTCTTGTCAGAGGGAGGGGGGACTGTGCCAAAGCCTTGAGGCTTTCAGGACACAGCATGTTCAGCCAGTGTGGCTGGAGCATCACACGTCCTCTGGGGGAGGGGATGTGAGCCAGGTGACAAGGGACCCCATGTGCCACACCAAGAGGTGGGAACCCAGGTGCTGCAGGATTCCAGGAGGCGCTGCCTCTTTATGATGCCCCAAATTAGCACTCCTTGCAGCACTGGGAGGCATTGCCAGTTGCCTGAAGGACGGGTGTTAGCTACTGATTTACACGTGTGTGTGTGCACGTGTGTGTTAAAGCAGATTCTACATGCTCCCTAAATTTACATGACTTCTGCACAGCTGTCAATAAACACTCTAAAGCAGGAGGTGATGGGGTGAAATTACAGCTACTGTACAGGGATTTGTACTCATTACCACGTGTCCTCTGGTGTGTGCCCCATGGTGGCCCTCGGTGGCCCAGACCCCACTGCTGCAGGAAGGGGACTGTTAGGCACAGTGTGTGGGAGCAGCAGGGGTCGGGGAGGGGGGCCTGGTGCAGGGTTTCTAACATGTCTGTGCCATGGACCTCTTTGGCAGCCAGGTGAAATTGGTAAATCCTTCTCAGAATCACGCTTAACATGCAGAAAACACTATACAAAGGGGAAAAAAACACTTCTAGTGAAGTACTGTTATCAAAACACTGCAAAAATGTAGATTTGCGATATAATATATATGCTTCCTTATTAACACATCAAACAACAAGATCTTACACTATTGTGATTTCAGAGGAATGATGAGACCAAACGCTTCCCCAAATCTTGGCAATAACTGCAGTGTGATACCAAAACGCCTGTGGTTTGCACTGGCGAAAGGCACGGGTATCGCTAACACTACTGTAGCTTACTGCCTACAGCAAAACGTGAAAGAATGCTTCCACTGCAAACTGTAAGACGCTGCTGAAAGAAATTAAAGAAGATCCAAATAA